TATATAATATTATTTATATAAATTGTATATCAAAAGTTTGAAATAATTAAGTAAAAAAGAAGAGAAAACTGAAAATAGTAAGAACTAGAGCAATAAGTAGAAGACTTAACTCCCTATTTTTGGTCAAAACATTTGATAAAAAAAAAAAAGGACAATCCAATATCCCATTCTCGGAGAAATACAAATATTTTCACTGTGGATGATAATGAATTGCCAATTATATTTGCAGATTGAGGGTCAGGTGACCATAGTTATAATCGGCAGCTTTTCTGTCGATAATATATACATAATCGACAGAAATTTGGCTGTTGGTAATGTTTTTTTCAATATTCGGCAGCATTGTTGACACTTAAATTGAAAACGACGCCGTTTTTTACATTACTATATCACCGTCAGCTTTGGCTGTCGATTATGCTAGGTTACCCACCTCCCCTGGCTCCTCGCTAACTTTCCTTATTTTCTTCTGTTTTTCCTCCCCAATCTGCTTTCTTTTCCGGCTAGGTTTCCCTATTTTCTTCTGTTTTTCCTCCTCGATCTGCTTTCTTCTCCGGCTAGGTTAGCTTTTCCCGTTCATGCTGCCGTGAGTGGCTGACCCACGCACGTCCTGGATTCCAGATCCCCACACCATAGACGGTAATTTTCCAGCTTTCTTGGTAGATTTTGATGGTGGTTTTCCTTGGATTTACAATGAGTATTCCATGTTCTTCTTGTAGATCTGAGCCCCAAAAGCATACTCCAACAGCTGCACATCACAACATCGGCCAGACAAATTGTTAACTACCGCCGCCGTCGCTGCCTTGCCTGGAAATCGCCCACGCAGTACACGGTTAGTTTTCCCACCGAAATTTTTTTCCCCTTGATTTTGATCCAGATGAGAATGTAGAAATAGAGATAAATCAGATGAGAAACTGCAGAGAATTGAATAGTATCCAATGTGAAGGGTTGTGTGGAAATAGATTTAGTGCGGGAGGGCTTCAAGAATCTGATGCTCTTTGTGGAGGTGGGGTCTAAAAATTGTAAGAATTGTCATAGATTCTTTGGACATCTCT